CTGTCGCGCGCTCCCTGAGGCGATGGGTTTCCCTGGCGGCGCCGTCGCTCCTTCGCCCGCCGGTCGTCCCCCCCGGCGAGTAACCCCCCGGGAGTCGCACCGTAACCGGGTCTCTCAGGTGAAATGCTAAACGTGCCCGTTCTGTCTTTTCCTCAGGTCCCTCGGGGAACCAGGGGAAGCACAGTGGACGTTGTCGGCAATTTTTTGGGGGTGTCTTTGAGTGCTTGAGTTTTTCAATGTTCTTCAGTAGGAGAACATGCTTGGATGAAGCTGATGAAGAGCTGTTCCCTTGCTTGAGGAGTTAGCCGTGTTTCTGAGGAAGAGGCGTTATCTAAACCCCACAGCTGACTGATTAGCCGGCTGCCCTTGGCCGAGAGCAAATGGTCGGACACCTTTCTGGGTACCGAGTTGTTAAGAGTCTGTCTAGAACCTGGACAAGGGAGTTGTTCAACAGGCAAAAACTTGGAGTATTTGTAGTTGTTTGTAATGGATGTGAAAAATGGTTGAAGGGTGCTGGTTGCTTACTCTGATAAGAATCAGCTTTTTAACGTGTCCAAAGCTCAGACCGTACGTGCTACGTTGGGTGTTTACTTCGGTTTCCTAGTTTTTTAACCTGCATCCTGCAGTTCCTAGGTCCTCTTGATATACACCAAAGTTATCTTTTGGTAATTGTAGTGGGAAATAACATCGGCCTTGTGACATACAGTGTCTTTCTGATCCCTTTTTCTGGTAGGTGTTCTTTACAAACAACATGCTAATGTTAGAAGTTCTGAGAAAAACCTCAACGTAGTGTATGGGATATATGTAAGAACACAAAAAAGTATTTACAGCTTGTAAAAAGTTTACTGTGTTCCAATATATTAATATTTTTGGGTCTCCATTAACTGTTTGGTAATTTTACTTTCTTGCAATTGCTTTATAAAACATTTCAACAATGAATGTAGCCAACTGGCTCTTTGCCCTTATGGGTTTAAATAATTTCATGACCCCTTTATTTTTGTCTGGAAACTGGCTTGTACAAACATGCTGTAAATAGTTAATGTGAATTTTTCACACCATTGGACAGTTATTATGCTTATTATAACATAAATGCAGAAAGGTTTTGACCTAAGCTGAGTGGCCTACAGGTAGTGTGTTTGAATGCTTAATTGCTAGCTTTTTATTTGCTTGCCTTTTTTTTAATAGAGCAAAGGATCTAAAGGCCTTAAATATTTGAGTATGAGAAAGACTGTATATACATTTATTAGTCATTTTAGAAGTACTAAGAACCTTTATTTCAGTAAGAGGAGAAAAAATCCTCTTTCTGTAGCCCTAAAATAGCAATTAATACTGCTCTATAGGTCTCTAAAAATCATTAAACTATCAACAAATAGAGTATTTCGCTTACATGCTATTGCTTGATTCTCTAATTGATAATTAGACTAGCAACTAAATCAGCTGAGTCTCCTATCACACCCATAAATGCTTACTCATTGTCCCACTTAATTTAACTCCTGCTGCTTAGTCACATTTATCTCAGGACCCCTCTTATTACAGCCTTGATGCTTTCTGTGAAAAATGCAATTTGTTAATGAACACAATCAAATTCATAGTTTGCTATGTGTCAGGATTTAAACTGCAGTAGCATCTGTCAAGGGAGAATGAAACTTCTTATACTAACGTTGTGAAAATAGAACTTTATAATGGTCAGTCTTTCTTTTTTTGTACTTAATTATTTTTCAGATGAGGGAATGCAGTAAATGAGTAGTTTTAGGTTTTATTAGGTTCTTATGAGCACAGGACAGTATTAGAATCACACTATGAAAAAGAAGTGAAATAGGATTTTAATGAGCTAATAACTATACTGAAGGACTTAGGGATACAGGTCCATTGAGATTCAAAAGTCATTTGTTGAAAGTCTGGATCTTGTAGCTACATACAGAAGCATTTGTCATCACGTGACAAATGTTGAAATAGATACTACATCACTCAAGATACATGTTTAAATAAAATCAAGTCTGAACACTTGGTGCTTCCAAGGAACATTCAGATCTTCTGAGATGGGTAAATTCTAACCTGGACATGGACATAAAGACATAAATGCCAAATCCCCCCCCCCCCAAGACAGGTGAGAATCCTCTCTGAGAAATATGGGATGATGTAAAAAAACCCTATTGTTATTTTACTGCCCCTACGTACATGCAAGGTACGTGTAGGCAGAGCTGGCTTGGGGCACTACAGCACGTAATGCTGTGGCTGGGCAGGACGGGCCCTGAGAAACTAATCTGCTGGGCTGGACTTACAGGAGACTTTTGGTAAACTTAGGTGTGTAGCAGCATACAAGTGCTTGGGAGACTCTTCATCCAACTCTGTCCTCATCCCATAGTAGAACAGTGTACTTTATCATAAACTGTAGTAACTGTCATAGTCAATGGGAAAGCAGCAATGCAAATGAAAAAGTATGACTGTTTTTCACCTTTGTGATCTAAAAGCTTCCAACTTGAGAAGCATTTGTACCTAAAGGAAGCCTTGAATTGCGTACTTGTTCTCAATGCTTTTGAAACAAACTAGCAACTGTAGAGATCTGGTATAACAAAAATACATTCTCTTATGAAGAGATGGGCATTATAGACAGTAATTCTTTCTTCATGGGAACAGCAACAGCACAGGGGGCTGCACAACTTCTATTGCATTGCATCCTGCTGGGATAGGTGTTTGTAAATGCTGTCTTCTCTCTGAGCAGCTCAGACAGGGCAATGTA